TAATTAGAGGTGTTTTGTTCTTGATTTTTGTTTGTATTCATTGTCAGGTGCATCATGTTGCAGTGTCCAACAGTAGTCAGCAGAAATTTGTGACAGCAAACACCATTCCTGCAGTCTCTAACCCAGAAATTCAGCTTTTGTTCTCAACAGACCCAAATCTCCGACCAGATTGTGTAATTCTGACTATGTTATGAACTATGGATCACCTGATGAGGGAGGAGGAGGTAAGGAGCCTGCACGGATTATAGTGTGTCGCCACACCCACCACATCAGGGATGAGAACCTGAGTGCAGCCATGTGGCAGGTATAGTTGTTTTTGGCGGCCTGTCTTAATTTTAGTTTTAGTCTAGTCTTTGCGGCAAGGTGTCATTTTAATTAATATTAGACTTAGTTAAGTCCATACTTATTTTAGTCTAGTCAAGTTTCAGTCGACTAAAAGTCTGAGCATTTTAGTCATATTTTAGTCAGAATTATCCATGACTATTTTAGTCTAGTTTTAGTCAACGAAAACTGATGACATTTTAGTCTAGTTTTAGTCAATGGAAATTGTATTTTAGTCTCTTCATTTTAGTGATGCAATTCTATTTGACCTAGTCAATATAGTACAAGTACCTAGTAGAATAGACAAAAACAAAATTTTCTTTTAGTCAAACGCATTTCACAATTAAAACAAGTTTCTTATTATTATATTATTGTTACCTTATAGACTCAAGAATACTCTACATCCATTCCAGACACGGAAGACTCTCTGATTTAAATTTATAACATTTATTTTGCCGACCAAACATGTTTGAACTTAGAAGTACATACAAATTTAAATTAAATAAATAAATAAAATAATGTCCATCTTCTTGCGCGGGACTTGCTTCACTGAAGCTGTTTCTGGAATCTAGCACAGAAATAGATACAATGTCAGGACAGATGCAGCCTCTGAAAAATCGTACTGTTGTAAATATTAATTAAGTAGCATAAATCCTTGCTATTAGGCCTATTTTGCCCTCAATGACTGAAACTATTGGTTGTAATTTGGCTGTTTATTTTCAGCTACAATTGTTTAACAGAAAAAATAGGCCTCACAAGACCATAAGGGATGCCAATCAAAATGCAGACATGCTCTGAATCATTCACGAACATCCTTTCCACAAGAACATTATTTCACGATTAGCAGGTATTTACATGAGCTGTAGCCAGAGCCTACCTGTACGTGGATGGTAACTAGCCTGGCAAGCCAGACCCACGCACGATGTTCTGAAAGACGTTCTTTCAATGTTTCAAACACTACCCCTTTCGACATATATCTAGTCACGCAGTAATGAAAGCTTGAAAGTTTAGACTGCCAGGATTCAAGACAACTGAGCTGTCGTTCTCATTTTGCTACTTAGCTTTAGCTTGCTAAAATGCCTACATAGCTTCAAAATGTTCTCTTTACCCACGTATTCTTATCAAACATCTTATCAGAAAGATATTTTATACAGATTGCCAAGCGTCCATGCGTATGAAATATAATTTCCTCCAAAACGCCTAAAGCTAGCAGGATAACATCTATTGCTAACGATAACATGTTAAGCACAGTTGGCATGAGCTTTCTAAAATAGAAAGTAACGTTACATTAATGTCTTTACTTATCTCAATGTCATTGTGGAATGCCCTGAGATGTCTTTTAAGGTTTTATGGTTTGTGGTGTTTTTTCCCGATATTTTGTGGCCGCATTTCTCCACCATCTGTGCGCCCAAATGGGAGACGCAGGAAACAGAAATACTGCATAATAATAATAATGCGATTAAACGAGA